CAAGATACATCAAGACTGGTGCTCTTATGGCGAAGAAGAGAAGCAGAGCTGGTTTATTACAGAAGAAGCAATGGAGAGAAACCGCAAGAATCCACGGTATATCTATCTGATGAGGATGATCATAGGCATCATACTCTTGGTGGCTCTCATTGGCAACATCATATCGGTTTTACTAACCGTCAAAACTTGAACCCGCTGATGAAGTTTGATCGCGAGAGATAGACAACGCAGATTGATCAAAGCACTCCTTTTTAAACTTGCTTTTATTTCATTCTGTTTTCTTCTGAAATTTTCATGTATATATGTGCGTGTATGTATGAACAAGAGGTATGTCTTGTGTCTAAAAGTTAAATGCAATTTAGGGTTTTGAAAATTATTACATTCACTATTTGACAGAGACAAGTGGATTGGGTTTGAAAAGGTTTCTCAAAGATTTGGTTTGTTGAGAATTAAGAGAATGATTACATACCGGACATGGACTGGTCTATGTGTTTGATCATAAGTCATAACAGTGAGATTTTGATTATCAATCAATCAAATCTTTTAAACTAGTCTATAAGTATACATTTGCATATGATTGATCCTATATAGTATCATATATATGAACCTTTCTCTTGTTTAGGTAATTTTAATGTCCCTTCCTTGCAAGTCAAGGTCATATATAAGAATTTGTTAATTCAAATCCTTATCTAGTTATACGAACTGTTATGTTTTTCAATTTACCAAAAAAAAAAAAAGAGAAGAGGAAATGTTTATGATTTTCTTGAAAAGCCTAATAATAATAATAGAACCATATGTTATAGAAAATAGACAAAATTAGTAATACAAAATTGCAGTAACAGAAAGTAATAACGTCATGTCGTCATTGGTGGCGGCTATGATTTCCGAAAGATCCTTCGACCCAAATAAACAAGAGCTGCATACTTACGTTCGAAGCTCAAGCAATGAACCGTCAATAACTTGCCACGTCTTCATTTTCATTCACAATAAAAATATATTCTGTTCTGTAATTTTTTTTTATTTTCCTGTAATTTGTCAACCTTTAGAGCTAAATTATTGGAAAACATTTTTCCATTCAATGTAAATCTTATCTTATTGTTAACAGTACGTACATAATTTTACATTTCTCCCAATACAAGTTAGTATTAGACTAATTAAAATCTGATCATTGTAAATTTGGAGTTAATTCACATAAAAATGTGAGAAAATTACGCTGATAGTGACAACATTAAACACAATTTCAAAAATAAAAAAAAAAACATGTAAAATTAAAATAAATTCACTAATTAATAAAAAAAACATAAGAAATAAACACAACACGGTTTGGCCGCGAGTAGACGAAACATACAGCTTCAAGGGCTTCCTACCCATTAAGAACTTGCCACGTCTCATTTTCTGCTTACTTACTGAGAAATTACTAAAAATTATTTTTATTTTTTATTTTTTAAAATGTTAGAGTTATATTATTGACAAAATAGAATAAAAAAAAAAAGAACTATAAATACCACCAACACTCGCTATCTCTTCACCAATCACTTACTACTGATTGTATTTGAAAAAGAAAGAAAAACAGAGAGAGAGAAACAAAAACAAAACAAAAAAAAATTCACTCAAACCCTATAAATTTTTTAGTCACGATTCAGAAAGTTTTGCTTTTTCGATCAGTTTCTGTATCAAAAAAATGGTGAAAGATCTGATTGGGTATAGATTTAGTCCGACGGGAGAGGAATTGATTAACCATTACCTGAAGAACAAAAATCTGGGTACAAAAACTTGGCTCGTTGATGAAGCCATTAGCGAGATCAACATCTTGAGCCACAAACCCAGCAAGGATTTGCCTAGTAAGTTCATGATCATTGATCTCTCTCTCTCTCTCTCTCTCTCTCTCTCTCTCTCTTTGTATCATCATCGATCATTTCTAAATTTGGGTTCTTTTTTTTGTTGTTGTTGTTGCAGAGTTAGCTAAGATCCAATCGGAAGATCTTGAATGGTACTTCTTCTCTCCGATTGAGTACACGAACCGGAAGAAGAATGAAATGAAGAGAACTACAGGTTCTGGGTTTTGGAAACCTACTGGTGTTGATCGGAAAATTAGGGATAAAAGAGGAAATGGTGTTGTGATCGGTTTTAAGAAGACGCTTGTGTACCATGAAGGTAAAGGTCCTAATGGAGTTAGAACTCCTTGGGCTATGCACGAGTATCACATCACTTGCTTGCCTCATGATAAGGTAACACAACTCTTTCAGAGCTATCTTTATACTGGATCTAATCGTTAGCTGTTATTTCCCCTGTGATCTATTTTTTGAGGTCTTTGTTGGTGTAAAGATTCTAACTTTGCTGTCCAAGCTTGTGATTGAGTTGTTTGATTGATGTGTGTTCTGTTTTTGTTGTTTGGTTGGAAAAAAACTTATGTGTGTGAACCTTTGGAATTTGTTTAGAGAACATCTAGTTCAATTTGAGGTTCTGTGTTAGTGTGGTGTAAAGAGTATCAATTTGCTGTCAAGAGTGTTTGTGATTGATGTGTGTACCTTTGGAATTTGTTCAGAGGAAATATGTTATCTGCCAAGTAAAGTATAAGGGTAAAGCTGCAGACATTTCATATGAGCCAAGTCGCTCCGATTCGAATACTACCAGAGCGATTAACAGAGCGGCTGAGCCTGAGGTGAATCCAGTTTCAGAGATGTTTCATTACTATCGACTTGTGTGTTTACTTTGTTGTTGTTGTTGTTGTTGTTTCTTTTTACAGCTTCAGGTTGAGCAGCCAGGTAGAGAAAATTTCTTGGGTATGTCTTTAGATGATTTGGAACAAGAGGATCCAAAAACTTGCTTGCAGCCACAAGGTCCTCACTTAGCCTTGAATGATGATGAGTTTATCCGTGGATTGAGGCATGTTGATCGAGAACAAGTTGAATATTTGTTCGCCAATGAAGAAAACATTGATGGTTTGTCTATGAATGACTTGAGAATCCCAATGATCGTCCAACAAGAGGATCTCTCTGAGTGGGATGGATTTAATGCAGACACGTTTTTCAGCGACAACAACAATAACAACAACCTTAACGTGCATCAACTAACGCGTTACGGAGATGATTATCGGAATGCAGGTTATAACGGAGGGAATTTTGAAGGCGTGCATCCCTATCAAGAATTAATAATGCAAGAGAACCGCAACGATCACATGCCAAAGAAACCTTTGACAGGGACCATTGATTATAGCAGCGATAGTAGCAGTGATGCTGGATCGATATCTACAACGGTAACACACATCACTCATTTTATTTATCATTACTTCCATGAAGTATTCTGTATTCTCAGCTATCTATTCTAACCTGACAGAGTTACCAAGGAATATCAAGTCCAAATAATAGTGTTGGTAGTTCAAGCAGACGCTTGTCAAGTTGCTCAAGCACAGACTCTTGCAAAGATCTACAAACTTGTGCAGATCCTTCAATCAGTAGAGAGACCCGGGAATATCAATTCACACAACGCACTGTACCATCAAAACAAGAGGTCTTGAGTTGCTCTTATGTAGATTTTGTTGCTACTTGTTTGTATCTTATAATCTCAAACATATGTTGGATTTCCTTTTCAGGTGAAACAAGAGATTCCAAGAGATGTTGATGCATCCATGAACAATGAGTCATCTTTGGTGAAAACAGAGGAGAAGTGCTTGTTTATTCCAGAGGACGCAATGGAGAGAAACCGCAAGACACCACGGTTTATCTATCTGATGATCATAGGCTTCATTCGTCGTATCGGTTTTACTACCCGTCAAAGCTTGAACCCGCTGAAGAAGTTTTGATCACGAGAGCAGATCAAATATGGCATTTTTTAATCCTGCTTTCTTCTGAATGTTTGAAACTTGATTGTTCTCAACCTGAATATCTTACAGGTCTTTCTTGTGCCTAAAGTCAAATGTATAGTAGAGTTTGTAATCTCATTTCTGAAAACAGAGAAAGATTAAGCAAGAGTGTATTAAGATCCTACATATTTATCTTTATGGAACATATGATCATAGGTGGATTAGACAGTAGAATCTCAAAATTCTATACAATCTTTATGAACATGATCGTAGGTTGACAGTAAAACAGAAACAAAAAAAAAACACATGATCATAGGTTATATAGCTTTATGTTGGTCAAGAGTTGATGATGGGAGCAATTTGGTTTAACATTTTGGTATGTAGATAATTGGTTTTAGTTCTATGCTTTTTCCTCTGCATTTCAAATAATTTTTAAATTTCTCTAACAATTTTAAATTGTGATGTAAAATCCGTTTCCTGTCGTCTGTCGACGTCGTAACTAGAGAGACTATGTTGACAGAAAGCAACAACTTGAGTAGGAAGTTTCCAACAACTTTTATGAACTTGCCACGTTTCCAATTAGGAACAAAAAGAGATCGAAAAAGTTATATAATTATTGTTTTCTTATAATTAATTAACCTTTTGATCATTGGATAATTGTTAGTTTGTTACTTATGCGTGTGGAGTTTGTGTGGAGTTTGAGTTATCTTAATGCGTCTAAAAAGTTAAAAGTTCGCATTATAAAAGTTTGAAATGTGAGAGATGTATCTGTATTTAGTATATACTATCTCTATATAAAGATACTAGATCATATGGTGTTTAAGAAGTTTAGTTTAATTATCAAAAACACAAGTGATAAAATTGTCAGCCATTTTACAAATTTCAGCTTTAGTCTAAATTTTGGTATATGAAGATTAACCCGTTTATTAAATAATCAACCTCGTGTCTCTAAACATTATGGGTATGACTGATAATTACTTTAGAGTAAAATATTTTTAGATAGAAAAATACTTTACTTTAGGTTCTTTCATTTTTTTACCAATCAAATGAAAAGCAGCAAATAAATTTTTTTAACTCATTTTAGCTATAAAAAAAAGAAATTTTTTTTAAAAAAGAAGTTTAGACTCGATTTTTTTGGCAAAACAAATTTCACTAAAAGAATACAAATGAACAAAAGAAAGTGAAGTAATAGAGTCTCAATCACTTGGGACTTTAAATTTAAGTTAGAGAAATTGAAGCAAAATCGCAATATATTCATTGTGTAAACTTTTTGAAGAATTTACTTATAGTATAACTCAATGTATAAATATCATTTAACTCAAACCACATATTTCATCAGTTCATGTGCCGACCACTAAGCCAGTGGGATCCACAAGACTTTTAATTTATTTTAGTGAGAAAATTACCATTTTTTTCTGTGAGAATGCGTAAAACATAAGCCTTAAAAAGTAAAAAATAAGTTTATTCGACAATTTAAATACCCTTCTCTGTTTCTTCTCTTCCCCCTAAGAAAAAAAAAACAGAGCCTTTGAGAAAAAAAAAGAAACCTTTGAGAAAAAACTTCATCTTCTTGATTTTAGAGTGAAGATGGAGCAAAAACCAGGATTTGGATTTCGACCAACGGATGAGGAGCTGATAAGTTATTATCTGAAGAACAAGATTTTGGGAAACACATGGCTCGTCGACGACACTATAAACGAGATCAACATACTAAATCACCATCCCTCTTCTTTTTCATGTAACTCACTACTTTCTTCACTTCGATTTCATCGATCGTTTAAAAAAAGTTTTGAATTTGTTGTTTGTTTTGATTTTTTTTTGTGGGTTTTCTGTAGCGTTGTCGAAGATCAAATCGAACGATCGTGTATACTACTTCTTTGCTCGTAAACAGTACAAGACCGCGAAGAAGAGGAAGAGAAGTATCAAATCTTGGAAATGGAAAGTTGGTGGTCTAGTTACGAAAATTAAAGATGAGAGTGGAAACAAGATAGGGAAAAAACGAGGTATTTTGTTCGATGACCTTGATGCTCCTAAAGCCAAAGGGGAGAAGAGTTCTTGGGTTATCCATGAGTATCAGATCACTTCCTTGCCTCATCCTAATCTGGTACTTTCATTTTTCTTACATAAGCTTCTCTCTTGTTCAAATGATTTTGGGGTTGTTTTGGAATGATAGTCATGTTGAGATTTTTCAGTGTTAAAAGAGTATCCATTTTTTTGTGAAATTTTTTTTAGAGTTATAGAAAAATATTGACTTTTTTTAGAGAACCAGGCTTAATTATTTATTCTGCCAAAGTTTGTGTGTGTGTGTGTGTGTAATTGAAAATATGAATTTGTGAGGTTTTGATATTTTTCAGGATTCCTATGTTCTCTACAAAATATTTGATAACAATAGTAAAAAGAAGGCAGACATTTCAAATGGTAATAGCTCAAGTGATCCAAGTCAATCTTTGGTTTTCGATATGAATACAATCAGAGTGACTACTAGCATACCACCAGAGGTGAGTCCTGTTTCTGTAGTAAAGTATAAGGGTGAAGCTGCAGACATTTCATATGAGCCAAGTCGCTCCGATTCGAATACTACCAGAGCGATTAACAGAGCGGCTGAGCCTGAGGTGAATCCAGTTTCAGAGATGTTTCATTACTATCGACTTGTGTGTTTACTTTGTTGTTGTTGTTGTTGTTGTTTCTTTTTACAGCTTCAGGTTGAGCAGCCAGGTAGAGAAAATTTCTTGGGTATGTCTTTAGATGATTTGGAACAAGAGGATCCAAAAACTTGCTTGCAGCCACAAGGTCCTCACTTAGCCTTGAATGATGATGAGTTTATCCGTGGATTGAGGCATGTTGATCGAGAACAAGTTGAATATTTGTTCGCCAATGAAGAAAACATTGATGGTTTGTCTATGAATGACTTGAGAATCCCAATGATCGTCCAACAAGAGGATCTCTCTGAGTGGGATGGATTTAATGCAGACACGTTTTTCAGCGACAACAACAATAACAACAACCTTAACGTGCATCAACTAACGCGTTACGGAGATGATTATCGGAATGCAGGTTATAACGGAGGGAATTTTGAAGGCGTGCATCCCTATCAAGAATTAATAATGCAAGAGAACCGCAACGATCACATGCCAAAGAAACCTTTGACAGGGACCATTGATTATAGCAGCGATAGTAGCAGTGATGCTGGATCGATATCTACAACGGTAACACACATCACTCATAATGGAGGGAACTTTGAAGATGTGTTTTCTGATCTAGAATTCATAATGCAAGAGAATCACAACGATTACAGGCCAAAGAAATCTTTGTCAGGGATCATTGCTGATTATAGCAGTGATAGTGATAGAGATGCTGTATCGATATCTGCAACGGTAAAGCACATCACTCATTTTCCTGATGACTTTTCATGGAGTTTGTGTATTCACAGGTTTTTCATTCTAATATGACAGAGTTACAAAGGAACATCAAGTCCAGGTGATAGTGTTGGTAGTTCAAATAGGCACTTTCTCCAGAATTTCGGAGGTGAGATTCTATCGTTGAGCAAAGATACACAAACTTCTGATGAACCTTTCATCAGTAGAAAGACCCGGGAATCTCAACTCGCACGGTGCACCAAACCATCAAAACCAGAGGTCTTGAGCTGCTCGTATGTTAATTCTGTGGGTGCTTGTATCTTATTATCTCAAACTTATAAAGATAATAAACGATGTTGTTTCTTTTTCAGGTTACACAAGGTATGGTGAAGACAGAGAAGAAGGGCTTGTTTATTACAAAGGAAGCAATGGAGAGAAAACGCGAGAATTCACCGTATATCTATCTCATTAACATGATCATAGGCTTCGTCCTCTTTCTGGCTCTCATTAACGACATCATATCAGTTTAACTAAGCATCAATTCCTAACTAGTCACTCTCTCTGAACTTAAAATTCTTCTGAATATATATGTGTGTCAGTGTGTATTAACTAGAGATGAGACTCAATTGTTCTCAGCCTTTATAGCTTACAGATTTGGTTATAGGACTTTACAGTGTCTGTTTCTCTTCAAATTGGGAATATATGTTGTTTGTGTCTAAAGTTAATGCATTTTATGGCTTGTTATCTCATTTTCACTGCAAGAGAGCTTTTGAATTACCCAAAAGAAGTTGGATTAAAGAAGAGTGTCTCGTCTCAAGATCCTACATTTATCTTTATGAACATATTATATATATTAGACAAAAGAGTCTAAAGATCCTAAAAACAGATTATGAGATAACAAGCTCATGTATTGGTAGATACATGACAGATCCTAAGACATTGGCCAATAGATTTGATCCACCAAATTTTTAACCCATTTATAAAAATAATCAACCTCCTGTCTTTCTTAAAACATTATGAGTATGACTAGTAATACCTTTTAGAGTTAAAAATTTAGCTAGAAAAATTCTTTGCTTTTAGGTTCTACATTATGGGTATTGGGTATGACTGGCACCACTCACATACCAGCCTATAATTTTAACTAATTCTAAGGATAATAACAAAAAAAAATCTTTTGGGTAAAAGTTTTCCACTAAAAAAAGTTTTAAAATGGATACAATGTACACAAAATAAACTAATCCTCTCAAATAAAATGGAATTTAAATAAGTTCGAGGAATTCAAACAAATATCGCAGTATATTCCTTGTTTAAACATCACAAGAAGATGTTACTCAATGTATACTATCATTATCAACAATTTTTTTTTGTATATTATCACATAACTCGAACCACATATTTCAACTCTGTTAGACTAATATTGTATCAGGTTCATATTTTTATACGATGGTTTAGAAAAAAAAAAAAAAAAAAAAGATTAAAAGAGTATAGAGACACACGGTTTTAATTACCGTCTACATCAAGTAATTAAATGAGTCACAAAGCCAGTGGAGCCCACACGGTGTTTAATTTGTACCATTACCATTTGTGACTTCGTTGTGTAGTAGCGTAAGAAATAAGACATAACATTAAAAAGAATGATCCTTCTTAGCCTTTCAATTTAAATTAAGTTTTTTTTTATTCGACAATTTAAATCCTCTCTCTGTTTCACTTCCCCCTAAAAAAACCAAAACAGAGCCGACCGATGAGGAGCTGATAAGTTATTATCTTAATAAAACCAAAAACTGAATTAATCGATATCCGAACCAAAGTCTTAAATAACCGGTAGAATTTTCAAAGTCTTAAATAACCAAAAACCGAAATAACCAGCTCGGTTCGGTTCGGGCAAACCAAGTCGCAAGGCGAATAAAACCCAAAAAATATTGAAGCTAAGACGAAAAACAAAGAATTTAAGATTTTTGGGAGAGATTCACATGTGTTTCTCTCAAGTGGATTAGCCACTTTAAAATGTTCCTCGATGATATTTTTGATAGTGATTTTTTTTCCTTTATCTTTTTCATGATCAGGATTAGACGAAATTTTTTATTATTTATGAGATCAGTGCTGATGAATAGATTTTTAATTTGGCTTTTTCTAATTATTTTTCCTTTATAGTTGTCATTTTTGTGTGTCAAAAAAAAATTTAATATGTTCATTCGTTTTGGTGTGTTTATATTAGTTGTCATTTTCTAATTATTCTGGTGTGTTTCGTCTAGCGGTTTATTCATGTATAATTTGTATGGTTTCCGGTGATGAGGGTTTGTCTAAATTTTTGTGTGAGTCAATTTTGTATGTTGCTAGGTAACCGTTGTGCTTCGTCTAGAGATCGTTTGGTCTTCGGCGATTAAGTTAGCGTTAGCCAAATTTATGTGTTTCATCTAGCGCTTGTGGTCTTCAAGATTAAGTTGGCGTTAGTCGATTTTGTGGGTCTAACGATCGTTTGGGCTTTGGCGATTAGGTTCGTAAGTCATTTTTGTGTTTTCGTGTGTGTGTTTTCGTTTGCTTCGTTGCTCTCTACGCTCCGTCTCTCTCACACCCTATACATACATCTACGCATACACACACACACTCTCACACCCTACACACACGTCACCGATTTTCATCTACACCCTATACATATCCATCTTTCATCAAAAAAAAAAAAAAAAATTACATACATACATACACAATCTGGTTAACTTCAAAGGTAGGCCAAGTAGAAGATGGAACTCCGGAGACAGTCCCTAGGCTTTGTATGCTCTGCAAAATTTAGTTAAAATCAATCATCATTGGTCATTACAATCTTTTTTCCACCTTGTCAACAGTTTTTATACATACATTATTATAATTACGTTACTTAAAAATCCAAATATGAATAAATCAGTTAGACTAAACCAATTCTTCCTCAGTTTCTAACGAATTTCTTTTAAAAAAAATCTTCTATGTTTTCTTAGACAGAACTTATCTACTTAAATTATTCTCACATAATTGAAGTTAAGACAGCATGATATATAATTTAAAGACTCGCATATATAACTGAAAATTAGTTTCTTAACACATTTTTTTTTTAAAGTTACTAACACATGTATAGCTAAAAATCAGTTCATTAGATTTAAGACAGCAAGATCTATAAAATGGATTAAAAACAGAGCAGAGTAATTAGCAGAGACTAGCAAGAATCTTTGTTTAACTCGATAAAAGATTTTCATCTACACTTCCCCACATGTTAGAAAGATGACGAACAGGGTAATTAGCAGAGACTAAGAAGAATCTTTTAATGGTAAACAAGCTATAGGAACTAGATCAAGAGTAGTTTACCTCTAAGATGATGCTTCTATGTTTGTTTCTGTTGTCGGAATGAGAACTCAAGTGGAAGAACAGAACTAATAAGAGGATAGAACAGAGAGTGTTATTGACGTTTGTAAGAGGGAGGATTCAGATTTGTGTCCGCAGATAGGAGTGGTAGTACTTATAGAGTCCATTATCTTAATTTTTTTCATTAAAATATTAATTCAAACGATCAAAAAAATGTTACCGTTTCACAACGTTCATATTTCCCTGCTCCCAAGTCAAATCTAAACGTTGGAACAATAAATCGTAAAATTATTAATTCATTTTCTTTTGTTATCAACCTTTTGAATTATTCAAGTATTAAATAATATTTGAAATACATATTACATTTATTATTGCTTCCATTGCTTTATCACTCGTGATGATTTTTTTAAAATTCGACTTCTTTATTTTCTTTTCTACTTGTCCGATTTTTTTAATACGAGTTTCAAATTGGGGAAGATTATTACTTGTGCCCAAAGTTAATGCATTTTAGGGGTCTGTTATCACATTTTTATTGTAAGAGTGTTGCTGAATCACCCTATTACAGTATATGAAGATTTGTGAATATGAAGGAGTTAACAGAGACTTAACAGTGTTAATTGTATAATAACAGCACCGTTAACTATTGTATAACTCATCTATAAATACCCTTGTATAGCTTAACATCAGATTAATGAGAATTGCATATAGTTTTATGACTTCTAATATGGTATCAGAGCATTAAACGCTTTCTCATTCAAAAGTTTGTTACATTTTCCTAGAAAATTCTACTTTCCCGAGAAAATTTTTTTTTCGAAGCTTGTTTTCTTCTCGACGATCTCACATCAGCCCTTGTTGTGTTCATCTTTTCTCTCATCGATATCCGATTCTAATCGCGATGGCGAGGAAAGGAACCAAGCAGCTCAGAAATCGATCGACATCACAAGATTCCGGTGAAGATTCACCGATTGTTACTCGAAGCTCGAATCCAGGTTCATCTTCCATGAATCAGCTACCAGCGAACTCCGATTCGATTGATAGTCATCATAATCCTTACTTCCTTCACTCTAGTGATCATCCTGGTATATCAATCGTATCAGAAACTCTCACTGGTGAGAATTACAATTCATGGATCATAACTATGACTACTAGTCTAGAAGCTAAGAATAAGTTCAGTTTCGTTGATGGATCTCTTCCTCGACCGCTTGAATCTGATCCTCTGTTTAAGATCTGGACTCGTTGCAATAGTATGGTTAAGGCCTGGATTCTTAATGTTGTTTCTAAGTAGATCTATGCTAGTATCTTGTATTTCAATGATGCTACTGCTATTTGGGATGATCTTTACAGGCGTTATCACAAGAGCAATCTTCCTCAGATTTATAATTTGGAGCAAGAGATCAGTTCTTTGCGTCAAGGCAACATGTCTCTCTCTGATTATTATACAAAGAAGATTACTCTCTGGGAACGTTTAGCTTGTACAAAGAACTTGATGGAAAATGGTGGTTGTCGTTGCTCTCAGGTCATGAAACTTCTGGATGATCATGAGACAACAAGGATTACTCAGTTTCTTATGGGACTTAATGATGATTTTTCTAATATCAGAGGTCAGATCTTGAACATGAAACCAAGACCTAGTCTCTCTGACATGTATAATATGCTTGAATCAGATGAGTCTCAGAGACAAAGAATTGTGATTACACCTAATCCATCTGCCTTCCAAGTCAAGACTCAGATCTCCAGTTTTCAGCAGCAGAGTTTTCAGAAATCTCGTATTTCCTGCACACATTGTGGTTTATCTGGTCACACTACTGACAAATGCTACAAGATTATTGGTTATCCTGCTGGTTGGTTACCAAAGAATCAGCGAAAGAATCCTAATCAACGTTTCACTCCTTCTGCATCAGCCAATCTTGCTATCACTGACTCTACTTCGGATATTGATAAGGGTGTGGCTCTATCTAATGATCAGATTCAACATTTGGTTTCTTATCTCAGCTCTAAGTTGCAGCCTCAGCTCTCTACTGGTTCTCCTAATGCTACTATTACTGAGATTCCTGCAGAGGCTTCTTCTTCTTCAAGCATGAAACCTACTATTTGTCAGCTAACTGGTATCTTCTTTCCCTCCATATTTTGTTCAATGTCAGCAGAAAATGGTTCATATTACTACTCTACTGATGATAATATATCAAATATGGATACATGGGTAGTGGATACTGGTGCTACTCACCATGTTACATATGATAAGAATCTGTTTCAAATGATGATGCCTATTCATGATACTACAGTGAAGCTACCTACTGGCGTTGGTGTTAAAATAGAGGGTTTGGGAACAGTAAAACTCAGTGCATACTTAACTTTGCACAATGTCTTATTCATTCCTCAGTTTAAGTTCCATTTACTCAGTGTGAGCTCTTTAACTACACAGATTCATTGTTGTTTGTGGTTTGATTCTCATGGCTGTGATATTCAGGATCTTTCAAGGGAATTGATAATTGGCAAGGGTAGACTGCACAACAAGTTATATTTCTTGGATTTGCAGTTTCAACCGTCTGAAGTTTCAAAACCAACAGTTTGTGCTACCATCAAGATCAGTCCGCAACTTTGGCACCAACGATTGGGTCATCCTTCTTCTCAAAAGCTACAGTCTATATCTGGTTCATTATCTGTATCTGTTTCTAGTTCTCTTTCTCCAAGAGAAAACCATTGTAAGGTTTGTCACCTTGCTAAACAGAAGCATTTGCCGTTTGTAAGCCGGAATAATAAAACAAATAAAGCTTTTGATTTGATCCATATTGATACATGGGGGCCATTTGCTGTTACTTCTCATGATGGTTATAAATATTTTTTAACAATTGTTGATGATCACTCTAGAGCTACATGGGTGTATCTTCTCAGAAATAAATCAGAGGCTGTCACGGTGTTACCTGGATTCATTGCTATGATTGAGACTCAGTTCAATACTAAGGTTAAAGGAGTTCGTTCAGATAATGCTCCTGAGTTCAATTTTACAAAATTCTACAAAGAAAAAGGTATTGTTGCTTATCATTCATGTCCAGAGACACCTCAGCAGAACTCAGTCGTGGAAAGAAAGCATCAGCATCTCCTTAATGTTGCTAGAGCCCTTATGTTTCAGTCTCATCTCCCTCTTGAGTATTGGAATGAGTGTATTTTGACTGCGGTTTTTCTCATCAATAGGCTACCTACAGAACAACTTCTTAATCAGTCACCATTTGAAATATTGATGCAGATACCGCCTGATTACAGTGCTCTGAAGTCATTTGGATGTTTAGCTTATGCTTCTACTTCTCCACATCAAAGACACAAGTTTGCTCCTCGTGCAAGAGCCTGTGTTTTTCTTGGATACCCTACTGGTGTAAAAGGGTATAAACTTCTGGATATTGAAACACATGCTATTTTCATATCTAGACATGTGATTTTCCATGAAGAATTATTTCCTCTCCAAGGTGGAGACATGTCACAGCAGATTCAGAAACTGTTTCCTTATGTGACAAAGATTGTTGATGATTTAGCAGTAGGAGATTCTGCTATCACAACAGAGTCACACAAGGATTCAGAGCAACATGATGTTAATATTGATCATTCTGCAGTAGGAGATTCTGCGTTTATCAATGACACACCTGAGCTAAATTTGGATTCTGAGCAAAGGGTGAGAGTCAGTAATTCTACAGTAGGAGATTCTGTGAATACTACTATCACTCCTGCGCCTGATCCACTGAATGCACCAACTGTAGAAGATTCAGTTGTTGTCAATGCAGACAATAAGCATGGTAGTAAAGATCAATTTGATCTGGTTCTTGATATTACAAGAAAGTCAAAACCACCTGCATATCTGCAGGACTACCATTGTTATAATGTGAGTTCTGATGTCAAATATCCTCTTTGCAATTATTTGTCCTATGACAGGATATCAGGACCATATCTCTTTTTCTTGACGGTCATCACTAAAGAATTTGAGCCTTCAACATATACAGAGGCAAAGAAACACATGGTCTGGATTAATGCTATGGGAGAGGAGTTAACAGCTTTAGAATCCACAAACACTTGGACCATTTGTTCTCTGCCTGCTAATAAACACATCATTGGTTGCAAATGGGTATATAAGGTGAAATACAATTCTGATGGCACTCTTGAAAGACATAAAGCTCGTTTAGTAGCTAAAGGTTACACTCAGAAGGAAGGATTGGATTATGTTGATACATATTCTCCAGTTGCAAAGCTTACTTCTGTCAAGATGTTACTTTCTTAAATGGCGACTTGAAAGAAGAAATATACATGCAGTTACCACCTGGTTATGTTGCTCGACAGGGGGACTCTCTACCAGAAAATGCAGTATGTAAACTAAATAAGTCTCTTTATGACTTAAACAAGCCTCAAGACAATGGTACTTGAAATTTGCAGAGACACTGGAGGCCATTGGTTTTCAGAAGAATCATTCAGATCATACTTTATTCACCATGGTGAAAGGTTCTACTGTTCTCATTGTCCTTGTTTATGTGGATGATATAATAGTCTCGAGTAACAATGATGATGCTGCTGCTTATGTCAAGGCTCAACTGCAGTCACATTTTAAACTGCGAGATTTAGGACCTGCTCAATATTTCCTTGGTTTGGAGATAGCAAGATCTCAATCTGGTATTTCAGTTTGTCAAAGAAAGTATGCTCTTGAACTATTAGATTCTGCTGGATTGTTGGGATGTAAACCTTCTTCTATTCCTATGGAACCAAATTTAAAAATGTCCAAGGATGATGGTGAACTCATTGATAATCCAGAAACTTATAGAAGCATCATTGGTAAATTGATCTATTTGACTATCACCAGACCGGATATTTCTTTTGCTGTTCGCAAGTTATCTCAGTATACACAAGCTCCAAGGGATTCACATTACAAGGCTGTTCTTAAGCTCTTGCGTTACATCAAAGGAACAGTTGGTCAAGGTCTTTTCTATTCCTCTGACCCTAATATGACTTTGTCTGCATTTGCTGATTCAGATTTTGATGCTTGTCCGGATTCTCGAAGATCTGTTTCTGGTTATTGTGTTTTTCTTGGAAATTCACTCATTTCTTGGAAATCAAAGAAGCAAGATATATGTTCACGTTCATCAGCAGAATCTGAATACAGGAGCATGGCTTCAGCAGTGTGTGAAATT